TTTCTAGTGCCAAGGTCTTCGGAACTCCGTTTGGTGGTCACTCACCAAGTTCTGAGCATGAAACCTCACAGGATGCCCAGCGGGTTGGTTTCCATTGCGGCCTGCTACAGTCGACCATTTTGGGGGTTCGCAGAAGTTCGCCGACCTAAAAGGGTTCTCAGTGGGTTCCCTATTGATAGTTGCCTGATTGACTGTGGACAATTCGACCTGAGGAAAGCTGCCTAGCCTCCAAGACCGGTACCTCAGCACCTGTGCCACGGCAGCAATGACTCACAAAGGACAGCAACTCAAATCGCCAGCTCAGGCTTGGTTTGCAACGGGGGGCCCATGAGAAAGGTTCCTTGCACCGGGATCCCTGTTCGAGCTGGGCTACGTAACTTCACTGTTCTTGGCAAGTTTTTTTGTTTTTTTTTTAGTTTTTTGGTTCTGTTCATTTTTACTGGGGGTCTGCAAAAAACAAGGTGTTTGCTACCATACCTAGAGTAGAGATGTAAATTTCACCCGCTTTTAATTACATCTTGGCCTTGTGTGATTGAGTCCTTGAGGCGCTAGGCCTTATGCGGAGGGTCGACCCACTTTTCTGGAGGGCAGCTCAAGCCCCTCCTTTTGGATAATATCATATGATACTTGTTTCCATTTGTCAGGGTTCCTTTTCGGGTATTTTTGACCCACACCCACATGACCCGCCATCGACCATGTGTTGACCAGCAGCTGAATACCCAGCCAAAGCCCAGCGAATCAGGAGCTGGGCCAAGTTTTCCCGGGCTGGACGTAGACCCAAACCCATTGCGATGGGAGGAACCCCGCGTGGATTGCCAAAAAAAACCGACTCATGCACAGGGACTGCAAAGCTCCAGCTCGATTCCACGTGGGATAGTGATTGAAGTGGCCCAAGGAAATTGAGGGTCAATCAACGGCAAACTGGCGGAATTGCGCCTTCCCACGGTCTGCCAGAAAGCGCTGTTTAGTGCTAAATGTGTGGATCAAGAACTAGGCTAGGACTACTTGGTGGCACCGCTTCATTTAAATGTTGGAGCTGCGAGCAGAAAAGCGTAGGGAATACAGAGTAACAGTTTTTGGGTTTGCAGATGAGAGCTGTATCAACTACTTGCATGGCTAAAGTGCACGAAGTTTAAAGCGCTGATTTTAGCTTGAAAGGTGTCCCTTTTTCAGCCCGTGGCCCTTTGGTCCCCTCAAAATCCACCATGTCTCGGAACCTTAAGGAATACCCGGATATCCAGTTGAGCCTCATGGATATGCCCAATTTGGGGGTTCCAACTCCAAGGCCCACCGCATCGGGGATGCGGTGGGGTGATCTTTTCTCGCGGATGGCTTTGATCCCAGGTCGCCAGTGTACTCCTTACACCCAATACCCACTTTGTTTAAGGGTATCATGTAAACCCTCTACTAAAAAAAGGGGTATTTACCATGGAAAACCAGGTTTTTCAAAAAATACAATAAAAAAAGTGGGTATTTGGAGTAGGGGGTATGAGTTCCAGTTGACCGTCCCTTGGTTCCTGTTGACAGCTCCAAAAACCCCAGACCTTCGCCTAGTTGGTTCAAGGCTTGCGGCGACATAGGTGAGAAAGCTTCACGAATTTTCAATTCTGCTGGCTCGTCTTTGTTTGAGGGTGCCTTGCTGGTGGGTCTGAAGGGAAACCAAAAAGAAAGCACCTCTCTTGTGCTGTGGCTAAGGCCGCACAAGGCGAGCGGTGCCAGTGCCGCTGAAATTCGTGGAGGGACAGCTGCTCGTCTAGTGGAGGGCCGCGTTTCAGTGTCGACTTTGCACAGCCTCTCAAGCCTTTTCAACGGCTTGGCGAAAATGATGATCCTTTCGAGTAGTTGCCCCATTTTCAGGCGAACACATTTGTTCACTTAAGCTCCTTGCAATCTCCGGCTTGCCGCTGGCCTCTTTGGGATCGTGGGAATGTCGCTTGGGGCTCGTGGGGTGAGCATGCAGTCACATTCAAGCCGGGTTGACCTGTCGGACCCCTCGTCAATTTTTGCGGAGATACTTTTTGCTGACGGGCCAAACTGACCTGCGATTGCAAGGTCTGCAAAGTTGGACGGGCGCGGTATGCTGGAGGCGGGCCAAGCGATGCTACCAGAGAGACCTGTGCCTTGGGGGTCAATCCGAAGCCTGAATGTCTGAGGTGTGCTTTTGGTTTCCCTCTCAAAAACCCAAAAGGATGTTATTTTGGAGGTAGACCAAAAACCCGTAGCTTTAGGCCTCGTCCCTTCGGATTTTTCTCTCAGTCTCCAAGTATCTCAAAAACCAACCTTCCCCGCTTCTTCACCCAAGAAACCCTTCAGATGTGGGGCGTCTTGGGGAAATCCACGGGAAGGTCAGCTTCGCATCACTCGACAGACCCAAAATCGCCGAAGGCTCAGCTCACGGCCTTGGTGCAGATTTTGGAGGGCCAGGTGGAAGAGGTGAACATGGCCGTTCGGCCGGAACACACTCAGACAATCCCTAGGTCCCCCAGCAGCGCCCTTTTACCCTTGTGGGGAAGGATTCCCCTACGAAAATAGACGACATAAAAAGGGTACCCTTATTCTACCCTCTCTACTGGAGGACCTAGATCCATGTAGGTATACCGGTGTACCAACATTTGACCCATTTGGAGGGTGAATGTGGGTATATATGACCTACATTTGGATGTTCTGGGAACTTGCTGGAACTTAAGTTGGTAAAAACTGTGCGAACTTTTGAGATATTTCTTCATCGAAAGTTTAGACGTTGCACGAGTCAACTCAGCATGGGGACTTGGGCTGGATTGGTGTTCAGTGTTGGCTGGGTTGACCTTAGGGAACACTGCTTGGGGCTTGTGGGATGATCTTGGGTCGAAGGATGAATTTGGGGCCTTTTTTGGGTGTTCTGGTTGTGAGGGGGTTGGACAGTTCCGTGCCAGCGCTCACCTAAGGAGAACAATCGCCTGGTGCCTTGACTGGAGAGATGCCGTTTACTTTGCACATCCAACACATGCTGTACGTGGACCAGATGTCCGCTTTCAGACGTTGCCGCAGGTTCAATCAAACGCATCTCACATTAGTATTGCAGACCATGCTGGGTTCTCCAAGTCTCGACAACGAATTTGATGGATTTGTCAAGTGCGTGTTGGGATGGTGCTGGTGAGTTTGATGCGGGCGTCCTCGATCGGAGACGCCTGTTTTTAGCGCCACCTTGACGTGTGTGAGACGCTCACAACCCCTGAAAAGGAGTTGGCACGCAGGAAATACGTTTTTTGCGCTTGAAGCAACGGCCATGCCCCAACAAGCCGAATAACGGAGTAGAGGGCAGGGTGGTCCGTTTACGACGTCCGACTTCTTCTTGGAAAAATGTATGACCCTCAACATGGACACATGTTCCTCCTGGACATATTTCCAAAAATTGGTGGCAACAGGACTAGCCTGGAGGTTAGTGTCCACTTCGCATGAGAATGACCTAAGTGGAGTTGTAGAGCATGGCTTTTTGTAGATGTCCAGATGAGCCAGCATGCAAAGGTGCAGCATGGGTGCCCGTTGAATGCATGATTTTCAGCATTGAACCATTGCGGGTGGCAATGTACGACACCGAACATAGAAGTTGGTTGTCAAACTTATGTACCAGTCTTGGATCCCCTCTTTGGGAAGATGAAGGTATGCGTCCTACAAGCTTACGACACCCTCTTTAATGATATCAGTTTCTCTCCAGAAAAGGGGTCAGCCGACAAGTGTGTCAAGGCTGATGTTAGCCATAGATGGAAGCCATCGGCATGTGGCTCATAGCTCAGCGAATAGGCCGTGGCAGCTAAGGTTACCGACCGATCACTGGCACCTCTCCTCAAGAAGCTGCACGCCCCACACATGCGCGAGCTTTGGACACAACTTGGCTTGTTAGTAGCGTCATCCCTTGAAGCCGTGAAGCCACCTTTGGTTCCGCCTTTGGTTTGTGGTAGTCGGCTTCATGTTGGCTTGATGGCGTTGTAGGCAGGCTTTGGTGATGAAGTCGATTGCGCTTGCCAATCGCCGAATGACCTAAACGCTAGGAGTCCCCTCTTATGCGACAACATAAATCGATCATCCTTTTGGCCCAAGTCATACTTGGGACATGGATCTCTGAAAAGCTTCGGATTTGGGGTTGGTGACTTGGGAAGCAACGCGACCTCATGGCTTCCTGGCTTTCTCAACGGTCCCAGATTTGAAGTTGGCGACTGGGGATCATTTGAGTTGCTCAAATTGATTGGACCCCCATTAGGGCGGTGAGGGATCATCTTTTGCCCCCAACGTCAGATCAATCAACTCTACATGAGTCGGAATTGGGAGTCGCTTGTAAAGGTGGACATTCATTCCTACAGCTGTTTAACAGTTTGCCATTCGTTCGTTCAGTCGGATGCATCCACGTTGTCATTGCTTCTTGAGTGTGCTGGGTTAGCTTGCTCCTGTTCTCATTTCGCACCTTTGCCTGGACAGTTCTTCAGTGAGCTGACTGGAAACCGTATGGATCGTCGATCGTGTATTTCTTAGACCCGTGCTTGCGCGCAGATTTGCCATTGGGCTCATGCATGTGCCTCATACCCTCATGTGATATGTCACATTGTTCAATGCATCGTGAGTCATGGCAGTTTTTAGCTCTAATTACGTAGTTTGAGTTGTGAGAAGGATAGCAATCCTTGTAGGCTGGCTTCCAAGCAACCAATCATGAAAGAAGGAGCCCTTTCAAAGGAATCACCCACATGGAAACCTGTCGCAGCCGTAGGTGAAGTCTTGATTATTTGTTCCTGACCCCCTACATGTACAGCATATAATATACATAATATGTATATTATGTATATCACACAGAAAGGAATGCAATGGTACTGGTAATGTTCACTAAAGTTTTCATGTCAAGCTTCAGGACCCCTGAAATGTTTGTTGTCCTATTGACTTATCGTCAACCAGAAAGGCAAAAAAGAGACGCCGAGGACGCCCTGCGCATCATCAACCTTCGGCAATGCCGGGCTGGCAGCGCTACTGTGGACATGTGCGTGGAGCGCCTTCGTCGAGAGCCAAATATCGTGGGACCGGAAGACCACTTGGGTGTGTCTTGAAATAGAATCACCAATATGAATTCTGTGATTCCTTTTGGTGTTCCTTTAAAGCCACTTGAAAAAGGCTATACCCCCCCCCTCTCCCCCCCCTTCCCCCGCAAAAAAGACACCCAGTTGGGAGACAAGTTCTTTGATTGCAGCTCTTCCGAGTAACTTTGCTTTTGGTGGGCTCATAAAGACCAACCTGTTTCGAGGGACGTCTTTGGGCGGGGTGGTTTGCAAATGGCCGTCTGCTGAGAGCTCAGCTTGGCGATCCCCCTTCGACCTTCGAACCGCCAACTGCAAGCGACCTGTAGATGTCCCAAACACTGCAAGTGAACCGACCGCAAATCATAGGAAATTGCACCATTCTCCACATTTCCCAAGGATCGACTGTAGAAATTCATGGGCTCATGGCATCTGGAAAACTCAGCAACGTGCTGCTTCCACCAAGCTCTTCCGACATTGCATTCTTTTTCTTGCGTCCACATGTTGAATCTTCATCTTCTGGCCTGAACAAATGCATCCTATTTTACAGATTCCAAAACATTGCTCCAACAAATTATCAAGTGTTCTCCACCATCTGACAGATTCAACAGGAGCAGATTTCTGCAATGTTGCAGCATTGCGTTCCACTCAAGCTTCAGTGCACGTGAGCTCCCCTTTCAATCTCATTAATCGCAATGGTGCCTTTCACTTCACCCATTTTGGCTGGTTCAGCGCCATTCTGATGCCCAAAGGGAACTCTGGGGAACCCCGCGACACGGGAAAGGACATCCACCCCTCTTTCCGAAAGGGTCTTTACAAGCCTTGACATTTCAGCCCCTACGGTTGGAATCTGTCGCGGACAGTCACTTGCACACGCTTAGTTGCACCCGTCAGTGTCTTGGTGCTTGTATGTTTTGGTCCTCATCTTGCCGGCCGAGGCTTTTAGCAGTGGCCATGAACTTGCGCCACGTGGTGCCTTGGCGTCGTAGCTTTCTGGAGTCGTTCACTGCATATTATGCGGCAAGCTCTTGATGCCATACAATTGGCCTGCATGCTTTCCCGAGATCTTGTCTCCGCAGCATGTGTTTCCTATCCAACGCTTAACACCTCATGAACAGCAGTCCATATTAACCGTCACATCGTTTGGTAAAGGGTATGGCATGTAACGCATCCCTTTCGGGCGCCGTCGCCTAGTTTTGGTCACACGCCTTTCCTTCAGGATTTGAGCGGCTTGCCCCTAGCGGTGAAGCTGCAGCTGCCCTTGTGCATGGGCGCCTCAGCGAGACGTGCAATGCCAGTTTAGCAGCGCCCAACACGCTTGGCAAGTTTAGCAGGTGGTGCTACAACCTGGTTGAATAGGGGATATCATTTTTCTAGAGCCAACAGTCACAGTGCGCTTCTCATTTGTCTTTACTCTTGGTGGCCGTGGAGGGCCGGCGCGAAGTACTATTGGCATGTGTTGTTGATTGCTTGCATGCCAATCCCTCCTCATGTCCTTTGGAGTTGTTTCATTTGCTTTCTTATTTTGTTTGATTTGCCGATTGCCCGAAAGGAAACCACAACACGACTGGCCTTGGCATGTTGGCTGGCTTGATGAATCTGGCGCCGAATCTTTGGTGGGGCTGCAAAAAAAACAGTTTGGTGCATTGAACTGTGGCTGGGAGGATCTGAGCTCCCTTAAAACAAGTCATAGAAGATACCAACCCAGAACACAATGCGATGGTTTTGAGGCGCACCCACAGGTGCTTGGGACGAGAGTATCTCAGCCCAAGGGATCTAATGGACGTCATTTGAACAAATATTCTTACGTTGAGAATCGTGTTTCTGAGGGTTGGGTTACAGAAGAATCTCAGGGAAGTCTCCTGTTTGACCAGGACTATGTCGCGAACAACTTCGCCCAATCGTTGGATTTTCAGTGGACCAGAACTGAGAATAGATCGTCCGCCCATAAACCGGAAGAGGTTGTTTCCCCTGGCGGTCACTTTCCGCGTCTTCACGTCCTCAGCACAGTTGGCCACAGACGTCACATGTCTCAATGCGGCCTGAGGGGCTAACCCCTCAAACCAGTCACCCCCAACCCCACCTACGTGGGTTGAACCTCGCAGTGTCTGTGATTTTCGGCTCCGTCCCGGCGCTCGGGGGGGGAGGTTTTCTGAGGTCTCGGCAGCCACCAGAGCCTCGAGACGGTCTCCTTGTCCAACGTGGGCTTGGGAGGCGGGGCGTAGATAGGCGAGACCAGTCTCGAGCCTTGGAACGTGGTTGGCCCGGTCTTACCCTTTTGCGTAGACGGGCGGTTTTTAAAAACCGAGAGCTCCTTTGCGTCGGGCCTTTGGGCCTTTCAGGAAACGAGCGACACGGAATAGTGGTCCCACGTGGTCCCTTTTTGTAATGCCATTTAGTGGGATCTCCATCAAGTCAGCATTTTGGGCGGTGCTTTCCCTTCTGTTGTTTCTCCCTTCATCAGGCAGCCCCGTTGCGAAACACTCCTCTCCGGTCCCCACCCGCACCGTATGCAATAGAAAGTACTAGCAATGTCCGGCCCGGGTAACCTCCTCTTTTCATGGGGTTGATCAGGCTTCCGTTGGGCCCCCAACTGACCATGACTCACTTTTCCCGCTTCGTGAGGAAAGTCCTCTTTCTTGGTTTCCCCGATAGTCCTCACCATCTCAGCGGGCTGTTGGTGGCATCCCAGAAAAATGGCATGCAGCTGGGATCCGAAACACCCCCGGACGAAAAGCTTTGCTTCTCTTTTGGCCTTGAGGTTCACGGGTGGGCCCTAAGGCCAAGAATAAGCCAGCTTTGCCAGTTGTGTGGTGGAACAAGCTGCAAAAATGACAGTTTGGTGTGAATGATGTGCGCCTTACAGAGCGCCAATTGCAGTATTAAGGCAGCCTGCAATGTATGTGACATTTTACTATCTGGTGGCAAAACAGGAATTGTTCAGACATTGATGCTGAACAGGCTCCGATGGAAGTGTCATCAGTTTTGCCAGATGATACACCTTTGGATGTTTTAATTCGAGACAAGGACGTGGAATGCGAGCAAGAAGCTTTGGGTGGCTGCAAACAGAGGTGGACATCTAGTGAGCTCTGTCATAAAATCAAGAGCTGTTCCGCCGAAAGAAGGACACATGGGCTGGAGTCAAAAAAAGCCCTCAGGCACTTGCGGAACTGCAGAGTGTGCAAGCCGCTGGGCAAGCCATCGCTTTGTCTCAGATGCCGGGCACCAGGATCCTTTTTTCAACCCTCGAGCAGTAAGGGTTCTCAAGGAGCTCATCAGGTGCCTGCTGCATCCCTCTTGACTCATCCCGCCATTTCCCACTTTCGCACTTTCCCCCTGACCCCTGGGCTTTGATTCTTCTTGCCGCGAGAGAGTCATAGTCATCGCTGGAAGCTTCTGGAGGTCGTACCATAAGGATGCCCAGCCGTACGGAGGGCGTTCCGAGCTCAAAGAGCCTATTTGGTGAAGCTGATTTGCCCTTTGTTCCTCTTGACTTGGGTGTGGCTCAAAAAAACGGTGCCAAAGAGGAACCCTGGTGAGTGGAAACATGGACCAACACCCGCGTAACCCCTCCTGTTTAATTTTGAGCCACAGCCACTTAGGCAAAATACCAGGACTGGCAATTCATGACATGGTAGTGACGCCTTAAGCAAACAGAAGACAACCACCCTCTTTGTCTGGGTCTCTTTTTCTTGAGCTCATCCGGGATATGGGTCGAACGGCAACCCCCGGTCTTGAGCGTGATGGTGCACGAAAATGGTCGCAGTATTGGAGGTCCGCACAATGTTCTGTTGGAGGTTGATGTCAAGTCCAAAGTTTGAAACATGCGGAGGGTCATCCTTTGTGGCGATGTATGTCGAGTGCGTCTTCTTGTGAAGTGAAGGGTCAGTGACCAACCCAGGCACACTCTTTTTTGGGTAGGAGACGCTTTGAAAGGAGCACCACAACTCCTCTCTGGGGGAAAGGAAGTGTGAGTATGTGTGTGTGTGTGTCTCTTGAAACTTTTCTTTGGGGTGGTTAACCAATTGCGAAAATCACATGTTTGTCATCCCGCATTTCAAAACATGCCCATAATCCATTCTTTGAGGATACCTTTTTTGGGGTGGTTAAAAACCAATGCGAGATTTTTTCTCCGTTTCAAGCCTCGAGTTGTTTCGAGCTGGCTGCCTGGCTGAGGGCGGCTGGTGGGCTCGGTGAGCGTGAGCTCCCTGGACCTCAGTTGGAACTGCTTCGACCAGGAGGACTTCCAGCAGATGGGCCGACAGCTGGCGCAGACCAAGCCGGGGCAAGGGCCTGAGACCAACTCTGCTGACTTGTTGGTTGGGGGACCCGACCCCCAGAACCACCCCCCCCCGGATGGTGGACGCGTGGGCTCTATCTTGCAACCTCCTTCTTTGAGGGTATTGGGTTTTTAGGGTTCTTGCAGTTGCAAAATAGACTAGGTGTCATGGCACACACCCCACGACCCCAGATGGAATGGAGGTGTTGTGTTGGGTTTCCGAAAGCAGCCCTAGGGGTACCCTCCAAGACAAATCCCCCCCATTTAGTTCAGAGGTTGAGGCTAAGGAAGATCATGGATGATTTGTGTTGGTTGTAACCGGGATGTTTGGGTCGGCACATATCATATTGTTTCACTCACTGTGCAACGTGTTGTTCGCTAATCTGATTTTGTGAAGAGAAGGCACAGCGGTATGATTCGTATATGAGGGCCGTCCTAAAACCCCAGTGTTCAGTTCTAATTATCGCCGAACGGGGGAATATCATATGATTCATATCTTGTTTGCACTTGCCAAAGGCGATTCCCCCGGATCGGGCCTTTTGGTTTTCACATGTTTTCACATGGCAACTGTGCTTAGTCCAGGTTCCAAAGGGGAAACCTTGCTGTGTTAGGATTCGCCGGGAATTGAGTTGGGATAAACAATTCGCAACGACGCATTGACATGCACAGCAGCATGAAACCATCATGCAGCAATGGTGTGTTGAGATCATGTTCGTCTTGGTGTTCCGACCCCAATTTCAAGGCGACGGAAGATGGCACGAGTGTCCCGGGATGCGGACGGGATCTCTAGAGATGCTTTCCCAAAGTGAATCGACCAGATCTGACCATTTCGGTACCCGCCAGGTCTGATCCACTATCACCGTGAGTGGCAGCCCAACCCTTTGTTTGCTTAAGCTTTTCGGTTCTGTAATTATTTGTTTTAGTTGCCTTTTTTCGGGGACATGGCCAGCCTTCAAGTTCTTTTTCAGGGGCAACTGGCCTTGGGCTCGCGTTGCGAGTCTCGTTTCACAACGCGAGTCACGAAGCGCATGGTCCGCCTGGCGCCAGGGGGTCGAAGTTGAAGAAGCTCTGCTTGGACAGCACCTCCACAGTGAATGCCAATAACAACGACAGCTCCATCGCCGAGCTTCTTGACGGGCGAGGGCATACCTCAGGCCTTGGCAAGTCCGAAGGCTCGGAAAACCTGAGCGAGTCCTTTCACGGGGGGTACTCCAAGGTCAGGCCGCCCTTCGGGACCGCCTGTATGGTTTCTCAATTAAGAAGACAGGGATCGGATTGGTCTTTTAAAGGATGAAACACCATTTTTGTTTGCGCTTTGCATGGCGATTTCGAAGGTGAGATTCCATCAGGCCCTCAGTAGGGTGATGTATCGACAGGCCGAGTGTAGCTTGAACTCTAAAGAGGGTGGTTTGTGAGCCAGGCTTCGGCAGCCGTTTTGAGACCGGGGACCGGAGATGGACCGCTGGAATCGGACATATGGTCAAGGTTGCGCTCCTATAGCCAACATCGACGGTGAGTCGACCCGTAAACTGATGGTTCATACTAGGAATTCAGATAGCAACGTATAATTAGTTCAGCCCTGGACTCAACATGTGTGGTCGAATCCGGTTCCAGGAGGCGGCAAAGCCCCAACCAGCGCAGAAGCGCCCTAGGCTGCTGGAGGCTTTGGCATACAACACCTCCCTGACGGAGCTGAGTATCGCGGCGAACCGATCCAACCTCAGAGCGAGAGTGTATGGGTGTGTCAGTGAAAGTTGGAAACGAACCACCGGGAAACTCGCCCAAAAAGAATTGTCGTTGGGAACCCCTCGGAAGGGCGCGCAGAAGAAGACTTCGCGGCTTTGGGTGTTGAACCCTTGCGTGGTCCAAGTGCCTCACCTGTCAATACAGTCGACTCACCTGCAAGAAGCCAACTGCATGGGGTTCCATGGGGTTCCATGGGGTTCCATGGGGTTCCATGGGGTTCCATGAGGAAACTTTCAGGCAAGGACCCTTTGGTAGTTTTGGAGCCAACCAGCGTACCGTTGAGTCGAAAATGGGAAGTATTTCTTTCCTGCGTGTGATCAGGTAGTCGCCTTTAGACTGACTTTCCATATTGGAGCCATTGGGGCTTGAAGAAGTGGTGTCCCCTTAGTTTCGGATTATTGGAGAAGTTGGGCCCCAAGAAGCCCGGCGCAATTACCAGACAGGTTCCATGTGAGTTGCTGGGATACCGGACCATTTTATGGGGAAAGTTTTCGACAAGCTCTTAAATGTGGGACTGGTGTGCTCGAGTGCCAAAACACCCAACTCCCATTTCAAGGGCTTGTTGCGGGTTTCCCGCTATCCTGGATACCGCACAGGATGGTTGAGTTTGGTGTACAGGGACACCCTGAACCTGAGTTCTCCTGTTGATATGGCCATGGTTCAAAACCAATGGTGCCATTTTGGGCTAGGTGCCCCACCCATTTTAGTCTATTTTAGTGGGGATTGGGATGTTCACTGGGAGTACAGGGTTTTGACCCATATGACGCGCCGGTCGGCGGGAACGGATTCCTAAGCCAGGAATCGACTTCAAGGCCGCGCTGGTCCTGGAGGACGCGCTGGGGTACCACGGGCAGATGAAGAACATCAACATCGCGCAGCCGCCCGGCCAGCGTGGCAGACCCCCACGCGAAAGCAAAGGGTTTTCTCACTTCCTGAGTTCATGAACTTTAAACTTTTTGGGAAGACCAGTTTATTTGTAGATACAAAGTTTGGACTTTTCTTGGGCCATCCACTCAGCCAGTGAGGAGCCCAACTCCAAGCCGCCCAAAAACGCAGAAAAAAAAAGCCGCCCATGTTGATGTTGGTGCTTTTCAAGGGTCTAGGTTACAAATTAAAGGGTTTTTTGCCAAGAGCCCAACTCCAAGATGCGCATACAGCAGAAAAAAGCCACCCATGTTCCTGTTGGTGTTTTTCAAGGGTCTAGGTTACAAATTACAGGGTTTTTTGCCAAGAGCCCAACTCCAAGATGCGCATACAGCAGAAAAAAGCCACCCATGTTCCTGTTGGTGTTTTTCAAGGGTCTAGGTTACAAATTAAAGGGTTTTTTGCCAAGAGCCCAACTCCAAGATGCGCATACAGCAGAAAAAACCCATGTTCCACCCAGGTGTTCCTGTTGGTGTTTTTCAAGGGTCTAGGTTACAAATTAAAGGGTTTTTTGCCAAGAGCCCAACTCCAAGATGCGCATACAGCAGAAAAAAGCCACCCATGTTCCTGTTGGTGTTTTTCAAGGGTCTAGGTTACAAATTAAAGGGTTTTTTGCCAAGAGCCCAACTCCAAGATGCGCATACAGCAGAAAAAAGCCACCCATGTTCCTGTTGGTGTTTTTCAAGGGTCTAGGTTACAAATTAAAGGGTTTTTTGCCAAGAGCCCAACTCCAAGATGCGCATACAGCAGAAAAAAGCCACCCATGTTCCTGTTGGTGTTTTTCAAGGGTCTAGGTTACAAATTAAAGGGTTTTTTGCCAAGAGCCCAACTCCAAGATGCGCATACAGCAGAAAAAAGCCACCCATGTTCCTGTTGGTGTTTTTCAAGGGTCTAGGTTACAAATTAAAGGGTTTTTTGCCAAGAGCCCAACTCCAAGATGCGCATACAGCAGAAAAAAGCCACCCATGTTCCTGTTGGTGTTTTTCAAGGGTCTAGGTTACAAATTAAAGGGTTTTTTGCCAAGAGCCCAACTCCAAGATGCGCATACAGCAGAAAAAAGCCACCCATGTTCCTGTTGGTGTTTTTCAAGGGTCTAGGTTACAAATTAAAGGGTTTTTTGCCCAGAGCCCAACCCAAGATGCGCATACAGCAGAAAAAAGCCACCCATGATCCTGTTGGTGTTTTTCAAGGACTAGGTTTACAATTAAGGGTTTTTGCCCAAGAGCCCCACTTCCAAGATGCGCAAACGCAGAAAAAAAGCCACCCATCGTACCGTTGGGTTATTTTTTCAAGGGTCTAGGTTACAAATTAAAGGGTTTTTTGCCAAGAGCCCAACTCCAAGATGCGCATACAGCAGAAAAAAGCCACCCATGTTCCTGTTGGTGTTTTTCAAGGGTCTAGGTGACAAATTAAAGGGTTTTTTGCCAAGAGCCCAACTCCAAGATGCGCATACAGCAGAAAAAAGCCACCCATGTTCCTGTTGGTGTTTTTCAAGGGTCTAGGTTACAAATTAAAGGGTTTTTTGCCAAGAGCCCAACTCCAAGATGCGCATACAGCAGAAAAAAGCCACCCCTGTTCCTGTTCCCATGTTCCTGTTGGAGATTTTCAAGGGTCTAGGTTACAAATTTAAAGGTTTTTTGCCAAGAGCCCAACACCAATATGCGCATACAGCGATGCTCAACCAGCAGAAAAAAAACCACCATGTTTTCCTGTTGGGTTTTCAAGGTCTAGGTTACAAATTAAAAGGATTTTTTGCCAAGAGCCCAACTCCAAGAATTGCGCAACAGCAGAAAAAAAACCACCCATCGTGTCCTATGGTGGTGTTTTTCAAGGGTCTAGGTTACAAATTAAAAGTTTTTTTGCCAAGAGCCCAACCCCAAGATGCGCATACAGCCAGAAAAAGCCCTCCATTTCCTGTTGGTGTTTTTCAAGGTTCTAGGTTACAAATTAAAGGTTTTTGCCAAGAGCAACGCCGAAGAATGTGCATATACAGCAGAAAAAAGCCACCCAAGTTCCTGTTGGTGTTTTTCAAGGGTCTAGGATACAAATTAAAGGGTTTTTTTTTGCCAAGATCCCAAACTCCAAGATGCGCATAAACAGCAGAAAAAAGCCCCCATGTTCCTGTTGGTGTTTTTTCATAGGGTCCTAGGTTACAAATAAAGGGTTTTTTTGTCCAAGAGCCCAACTCCAAGATGCGCATATCAGCAGAAAAAAGGCCACCCAAGTTCCTGTTGTGTTTTTCAAGGGTCTAGGTTACAAATTAAAGGGTTTTTTTGTCCAAAGAGCCCAACTCCAAGATGCGCCCCACAGCAGAAAAAAGACCACCCCATGTTTCCTGTTTGGTGTTTTTTCAAAGGGTCACACTAGTACAAATTGAAGGTTTTTTGCCAAGACCCCAACTCCAAGATGCGCCATACCAATAAAAGGCCCCAAAAAGAAAAAAGCCACCCATGTTCCTGTTGGTGTTTTTTTCAAGGGTCAAGGTTAAAATAAAAGGGTTTTTTGCCAAGAGCCAACTCCAAGATGCGCATACAGCAGAAAAAAAGCCACCCATGTTCCTGTTGGTGTTTTTCAAGGGTCTAGGTTACAAATTAAAGGGTTTTTTGCCAAGAGCCCAACTCCAAGATGCGCATACAGCAGAAAAAAGCCACCCATGTTCCTGTTGGTGTTTTTCAAGGGTCTAGGTTACAAATTAAAGGTTTTTTTGCCAAGAGCCCAACTCCAAGATGCGCATACAGCAGAAAAAAGCCACCCATGTTCCTGTTGGTGTTTTTCAAGGGTCTAGGTTACAAATTAAAGGTTTTTTGGCCAAACCCAACCCAAGCTGCGGCATAACAGTCAGAAAAAAAGCCACCCATGTTCCTGTTGGTGTTTTTTCAAGTCTAGGTTACAAATTAAAAGGGTTTTTGCCAAGAGGCAACCCAACTCCAAGATGCCATACAGCAGAAAAAAGCCACCATGTTTCCTGTGGATCGTTTTCAAGGGTTCTAGGTTTTTAGGTTACAAATTAAAGGTATTTTTGCCAAGAGCCCAACTCCAAGATGCGCATACAGCAGAAAAAAGCCACCCATGTTCCTGTTGGTGTTTTTCAAGGGTCTAGGTTACAAATTACAGGGTTTTTTGCCAAGAGCCCAACTCCAAGATGCGCATACAGCAGAAAAAAGCCACCCATGTTCCTGTTGGTGTTTTTCAAGGGTCTAGGTTACAAATTAAAAGGGTTTTTTGTGCCAAGACCCAAACTCCAAGAAGCGCATACAGCAGAAAAAAGCACCCATGTTTCTGTTGGTGTTTTTTTCAAGGGTCTAGTTACAAATTAAAGGGTTTTTTTGAACAAGAGCCCAACTCCAAGATGCCATACAGCAGAAAAAAGCCACCCATTTTCCTGTTGGTGTTTTTTCAAGGGTCTAAGTTTACAAATTAAAGGGTTTTTTGCCAAGAGCCAACTCCAAGATGGCGCATACAGCAGAAAAAAGCCACCCATGTTCCTGTTGGTGTTTTTCAAGGGACTAGGTTACAAAATAAAGGGTTTTTACAAATTAAAGGTTTTTATGCCAAGAGCCCAACTCCAAGAGCGCATACAGCAGAAAAAAGCCACCCATGTTCCTGTTGGTGTTTTTCAAGGGTCTAGGTTACAAATTAAAGGGTTTTTTGCCAAGAGCCCAACTCCAAGATGCGCATACAGCAGAAAAAAGCCACCCATGTTCCTGTTGGTGTTTTTCAAGGAAGTCAATTTGGTTGTATTCAGGGGTCACGCCATTACAATCAGGTGTTACACTGAAGGCAATCCAGGGCATCATGTGCCACGATTCCATGACCGAACGGGGCAATAAGTCTCACAATTTGACAGTTTATGAAGGGGGAGTAGCGGTTGAAGTGGATGATGCAGACCGCTGGCGCCCCGCGCTTGCTGCATCTCCTTTTGCTCGGTCAGCTTCGGTCCATCCAGCGCGATCCCCATTTGCCCGGCACTCATCAGGGAGTGGTGGGCAGACCCCAACTCTTACAGACACCTTGCGGTGCCCTGAGTAAACTTAAATCACACCAGGCGGATAACCGAATTGGCTTTCAGCACAAGATCTTGCTTCAGGTAATACAACGGCTTTCCTTAGTGTTTGAACCAGGGAAACACAAAGCAAGCGCAGGATTTCCATGCTGCACTTGATGCAGCCACGGTTCTGGGCGAAACTTCCTTGGTTCCCGTGCAAAACCACATTGAAAAGGCCAGCCCCTATTAAGTTTAATCCCTTCCCCCTAATGCCTAAGCGGGTCCCCCCACAAAACAGGTTTTAGCTCTCCGGCTCGAAAGTCGCAACTTTGTAGTACAACAAAGGAAACGTACTCCTGGAGCTCCGGCTCGAAAGTCGCAACTTTGTAGCGCAGCCGTAGTAAAGAAACATACTTCCGGAGCTCCGGCTCGAAAGTCGCAACTAGTACAACCGTAGTAAAGAAAACGTACTCCAAGAGCTCCGGCTGGTAAGTCGCAATTTTGTAGTAAAGAAAACGTATTGCCGGGGTTCCGGCTCGAAAGTCGCAACTTTGTAGTACAGCCGTAGTAGAGAAAACGTACTCCCGGAGCTCCGGCTCGAAAGTCGCAACTTTCTAGCACAGCCGTAGTAAGGGAAACGGACTCCCGGAGCTCCGGCTCGAAAGTCGCAACTTTGTAGCACAGCCGTAGTAAGGGAAACGGACTCCCGGAGCTCCGGCTCGAAAGTCGCAACTTTGTAGCACAAAACTTTGTAGCACAACCGTAGTACAGGAAGTAGCACACTCTAACATGGAAACCACGGACCCTAATACAAAAACCTTTCTCTTGGTTTCGTTTCAGGGATAGGCAGGCAGGCAGGGAGACCCTTAGACACTATTCTTAAACCCTCCAGCACAAGGCGGGATATTCCCTTTTGGTATTCGTTTTCAGGGAGGCAGGCCACGCAGAAAGACCCTTAATTTCTAAGG